CATTTCCACAGCAGTCTGGAATATTGGACGGCATGCTTTAAAATGCACACATCAGAGGTCAATTTGCATATGCTAGAGACAGTGAACTGGGGAAGTCTTTGAGTGTTCTAGTCACAAGTGAAAACAAACAAACCTTAGCACAATATTGTGAACCCATGCATATTAGTACCTACTAATTTGGGATTTGGTCAACACAACCATGCAAAAGTCTCACAAGTAAAAAGAAAAAATATTTAGCTAATTTGGTCGATAATGCCAAATGTTAGACAAAGATAAAAGATACAGCAAAGGATCAAAGAGGTCATGAGAGCTCAAGCGAACATGCTCCATTATAATGGTGTCAAGTTTGATTTAAGCATGTGATGGATCTGGAAAACAACGAGATTTCCAACTGAACTGAAACAACAGAAAATAGGTTTTACCTGTCACACTTCCTTTAAATAGCAGCACTGCACTGGGTGGCGGGGGTGGGGGAGACCCAGAATTGCTACCCATGTTCAAAACAACTAAGGCCTGGATTCTCCTTTTAAGCTTTGTGCTTCCATTCTGGGTTCCCACAAGGAGGAGAAATGGAGCGTGCAGGGAAAGGTCTATATGGCACGGTGGCAAGCCCCTTCCCTTGGACCAGGGCTGGGTACCGCAAAGGGAAGCATGAGTGACGGGGCGGAAGGATTTTACTGCTTTAAGCTTCAGTGGCTGGTCAGAGACATGCGATTTGGTGTGCGGGTGGGGAATGCATGCAAAACACATGTGCAGATATACATCTGATTTATCCCTTTATGGGAAGGATCAGGTTCCAGCAACTGGAAGGGTGGCCAGAAGCAAAAGCTGTAGGCAAACTAGCAGAAAGGAGATGGGCTGTACCGTTTGCATTCCAGTTTAGCCTTGGTAGTTGGAATTAGCAGGTGATTAATGCCAGCTATCAGATCTCCTGGTTCAATGCAGGCACCATCCTATGCAAAAAGTATGACAAAATTCCACCCGAAAATGCAAGCCTTCAAAACAGGTATCTACACATGGGCTCTTTTGAAGGTTGACTTCTCTAAACCTCCAAGGTACTCTGGGATACTTGATGTTTCCACTGGGAAAGTCATTATTCCGCTTACATGATCCATGAAGGGAAAGGTCCAGAGACTAACACAATGACAGAGCGACCTTGTTACTCAGAGATGAACCCAAACAGACGCTGACCTGCTTCTGCTCACACTCAAAAGCAAACAACATGGGACTCACTGGAAGTGACCACCTGAACCCAGCCAGCTTTGTGCGTTCCCCGTCCCACCAACACAGAAGAATGTGTAAGAAAGCTCACAACTACGTCTCCAAGGCGTCTGATGTTCCCACAAGTGGTATTCAAAGATACCCCGCCTCTGAACACCAGCTGACAGCAGATCTCGCCCCTTCTTGGAATTCTTGGCACACGCCAGTTTTATTTTATGTATTTATTTATTTTTAAATTTATATGCCACTGAATCACCCAATAGGACTCTCTAAGCAGCGAGAGTCCACAATCAGGACAGCAATGACACTGGGAAGTCAAGTCTCCCTGCCAACCTCTAGGCCAGCATCCAGAAGTGAGCCAAGCTGGATTTGTTCCTGTGGACTTCCAAATATCAGACAAGATGCAGTGTGCATATTTAACAACACTGAGAACAAAAAGCAGCTACAGAAATTTGCAGAAATCACACTATGTGCACAAATTTATGCTGTGTGTGCAAATCCTATTTTGCACTCCTGCCACGAATTGACACCCTAACAGTGCACAGCCCTTCGCATCATTTGCCCAAATTGGGCTACATCCAGGCGCCCTGTTTGGCCTGCTTTGTGTGCACTTCCTCGGCATTTTCTTAAAATGCACAAATCACGGCCCGTCTTTGAGAGAGCGGTCCACAAGGTGGCTGGACGCACATCACTGCGAGTCAGCACCAGCGCAAAGCAGGTGAACCAGAATTCTAGCAGCCAAATCATGAAAGTCCACCAGCTTTTCACTGACCTGTTGGATTCCTCATGTGCTCTTAAAGGTAAAGGTAGAGGTTTCCCCTTGACATTAAGTCCAGTCATGCCTGACTCTCGGGGGCAGTGCTCCTCTCCGTTTCCTGGCCGAGGAAGCCGGCGTTTGTCTGCAGACATTCTCCGTGGTCATGTGGCCGGCATGACTAAACACCGAGGTGCATGGAAGGCTGTTACCTGCCCACCAAAGTGGTGCCTTTTTATCTACTCACCTTTGCATGCTTTTGAACTGCAAGGTTGGCAGGAGCTGGGACGGAGCAGCGGGAACTCACCCCATTGTGCAGATTCGAACCGGCGATCTTTCGATCCACCAGCCCAGCAGCACAGCGGTTTAAACCACTGCGCCACCTGCAGTACCTACCAGGTTTAAATCCCTCTAAGCTAGCAGTCCCTGCAGTGACCGATTCCATGTGCTTGAAAGGGTACTTCATACAAGCGATTTATGATAGCCGATGCTATCGTATTTCTGAGCACACCTTCCAAACCCTGTTCTTAGTTAACCTGAGCTGAACCAAACCCAGAAACATCTAGAGTTTCTTGCTGTTTCATGGGAATGGACACATACATTCCCATGGCAACGCCAAACATTTCAGTTACGTCTCCAGATTCAGGAGCTGACGACGTGAGCAGAATCCTCATAGAGGAAATGTTAATCACAGGAAGTGACATCACGGGGTGTGTTTCATCAGGCAGAAAGACTGGCTGAGTCGCCAATACAAAAGTTGGGACTGAACTGTAATTTCATCTCCAATTTTACCTAACGGGAATAAGTGGGCTTGCAGGGAAGAAGGAAAGAACTAAAATGGCGGATGATGGACTGTAGATTGTTCCCATTCGGGGGGCACTTTACCTGCGGGCCTGAGGTCAGGGAAGCACATTCTGCAGGTAAGTTGAGTGGAGATCTCTCCCTCTCCCTCTCCCTCTCCCTCTCAACACACACACACACACACACATACACACAGACCAGTAGTTCATTGTTAAAGCACAGAGAGACTTGGATAGAGAACCTGGGGAAACAGCTTTGGCTTGACAAGAACATTTTCAGCCTGCACTCGGTCTCTTGGGCGACCTGATGCAGGATTAGCAGCTGAGCTGTTTGCTTGCATACTGCTGTTTGTGACTTGTAAACTTGGAAATAAAGCAAGCATCGCAAACAAAGACACTTGGATGCTCCGGTGGCTGCCTCTGGAACTGCCAGAGAACAAGCACCAGCTAGCCAAGTTCTTCCAACCGGGTTTGCAAACAGGAGCGAGGAATTCTTCCCACTGCCCCAGTGGTTTCTCTCCTGACATGCTGCTGGAACAGGAGCAGTGGTGAACTCAAGGGAGACTTTTAAAGCGTTCTCGGACTACAGCCGAAATGCATCCAACGTTCGCTTACGGCATCCACACAAAGTCACAGGGAGCTTCTGATGAAGACAATGCGACCAAGGTTTCCATGTGACTGGCTTGAGCCCAAATTGAGATTAACAAGCACAACTCTCCTTGCACCAGCATGATAAACCTGTCAATTGAGAGTTAATATGGATGAAATTGCCAGTATCCTGCCTCATTGGATCAAATTTGAACATGCAGAAGCATATCTGTGTTTTGCCGGAATAGCCCTCTGCAAAACCGCCAGACCTATTTTGACCTGCCAGTCGTTTTCAACAACATTAACTTTTGAAAACACCTTGGAAATACATCCAGTCAGATTGCATCGTCTAACTTAAAGACTCAGGGGGCAGATGGTAATTCATTAGGTATTAATTCAGAGGCACAGACATGGCAGAATTATGCACCCTTCGGGAAAATGCCAAGGACTTTGAGCAAAATTCCAGTCCGGAAAGCTTAAAAAGACGTGGTAGGGCTCTCGCTGGCTCTTAGCTATGGAAGTTAAATCGAACTTCCGCATCCAGAGGTTACAATGCTCTAAAGATCGGTGGCGGCAACAGCCGGAGGCTATGGTAGCCCTGAGGCCCTGTGGCTGCTTTATCAGAAGCATCACCTCCAAAACACATGAAGTTCTGGCTCCCCTCTATTCAGCACTAGTCAGAGTTCACCTGGAGTCCTGTGTCCAGTTCTGGGTACCTAAAACAGATGCAGAAAAGCTAGAAAGGGTTCAGGTGAGGGCAACAAGGATGATTCGGGGACTGGAGGCAAAGCCCAGTGAGGAAAGATGGCGAGAACTGGGCACGTTCAGCCTCAGGAAGAGAAGCCTGGGGGAACTTATGATAGCACTGTACAAGTACCTCAAAGGTTGTCACAAAGAGGAAGGACAAGATCTCTTCTCGTTCTCTCCAGAGTGCAGGACACGGAATAATAGGCTCAAGTTAAAAGAAACCAGATTCAGACTAGACACCAGGAAGAATTTCCTCACTGACATGGCAGTACAGCGATAGAACCTATTATCTGGGGAAGCTGTGTGCTCTCTCTTGCTGGAGAAGTTCAAAGAGTGTCTGGACAGTCACCTGCGTGGGATGGTGTGACATGGTGTCCTGCAACAGTGGGGGGTTGGACTCGATGGGCTTCTGGCCCCTTCCTACTCTTCTGTGATTTTACGATTCTGTGATTCTTGGAGCCATAGTCGGCCGTGGTGGAAGGCACCACAAAGGACCAGGTAGCACTTCGACCTGAACCAGAAAGGTCCACTGGTCTTTCTGGCACTGGACTGGAAAGGGAAGGATCTAGAAGGCAAGAGCCACAAGCAAGCAAGGTCACTTTTAACGAAATTTTCCCCCTTTCTCTTTTAGGAAACAGAGATGGCTGCAAGAGGGGCCCCAGGTGTTCCCGTTCCAAGCAGGCTTTCTCATGGCTCAGGGCCGCTGTTGTCTTGTGCAGAGAGTACAATCTTGGTCAGGAAACATCATGGCAATCTCAGCAATGTGTGCTTGCAACACAGAATAAGAGTTGGACAAATTGCAATAAGGAACCAAAACCATGCAAGAACTGGGCAAACACACGTCCCCACAGCCCTTGGGTCATAAACACAAAGAGCTTTACTGCCATTACCTTGTGAAGAAACTGGTTTAAATGGGTCTCCACTGTTGTTCCACAAGACCAGCTCTTGAACAGGTAAGATCCTTCCACAACACACGGCACACCTCAGAGTCGCTGATGAGTGAGGAATAACTGATGAGTAAACAGAGGACCAGTAAGTAAATAGGAACGTGGGGCAGGACAGTCGCAGAAGCCGTAGGATGTGATGTCCCACTTGGAAATTCTCTTGGGTCACAGCCTTCCCAGGGGCCAAACTTCGCTCAAAAGGCTCGGGGTCCATCCAGGGTGGCTGTTATGCCAGCGGGCCCCACTGCCGATACTGCACAAGGGAAGTCCACCACTTATTTTATTATGATTTTATTTTATTATTATTTGCGTTTATATACCACCCTAGTAGCCCAAAGGGCTCTCTGGGTGGTTTACAAACATTAAAACCTACCAATCCTAAACAAATAAATAAATTGGCTATGCCACGACAGTATAAAATAACATAGTTAACATGAATTAAATAAATAAATATAGCATTAAAATGTACTAACTTTAAAATATTGGTTAAATAAAAAGGTCTTGACCTGGCGCCGAAAAGCATATAGTGATGGCGACAGGCGGACCTCTCTGGGGAGCACATTCCGTAGTCGGGGCACCACCGCAGAGAAGGCCCTCCTCCGGGTACTCTGTCTCCTAACCTCTTTCAAAGAGGGTTCCCCGAGGAGAACCTCTGCTGCTGATCTTAGGGGGCGGGAGGGCATATGGGGAAAAAGGTGTTCCTTTAGGTATCCTGGATACATTTACACTTGCAGAGTAAAGTGCTAATACTTCTAAGAGAAAGTCCTGAAATGAGCAGAGATGCTAGTTTTGGGATCAGGACAGGTTGGCGGAGCATTGCCCCATTTGTCTAGCTCACCCACCCCATTTCAGGAACAAACATTTTCACTTTTTAAGGTTGCTTGTGGAAGTGCTAAATCTCCATTGCACAAGTGGCGAGTTTTGCTCAAGGAACAGAAGGGGTTTGCTGGGCTACATCCCCTGCCATTCCTGGCCAGCACGGAAACAGCCGATGGTGGCGCTGCCCGGGAATGAGGGCATCAGCAACTCAGAGCATCCAGAAGACCCCCATTTCTGTGACTAAGGCTCAGGGCCTTATTCTTCCTCATTAACCTCTGTGTGTGAATACCCCTTTTTCACCAGCTTTTACAGTGCAACCTTCCTGGGGCAGAAAATTACATCCCTGCCCTCTGTAACTCAATGTGCACATTCTTGATACAACAGCAATTTTTCTCCGATGAACCACAGAACTTTGACCAATCGATTACTTTTTTAAAGAATTTGCATGATATCTAGCTTTGATACGAGGACTTTTATGAAATACCGAAAGGAGAATTCCGCTTCCCAGTGCCACGCACGAAGGCTGGTGGGAAAATACTGGTTTAATAGTCCCATTTTCTTTCCTTGTCACAGCAAATCATGAGCACGTAACTATATTAAAAAGCTATGCAAACACGGTGTCTTAACTTGCTGCCTTACAAATAAATCAGGCAGCGCTTTAGCGGATTAATCTGTCAATTGAAACAATTAAGGCATGCAGAGCTAATGGTCAATAGTTTTATCCAAACTGTGAATGTTTTGAACAGGCAAATATACAGAATAGTCCATGAAGACATTTTAATAGTACAGCAGTTTTAAATCGCGCTACCTTAAAAACTTGCAGCGACATCCATACAATTACACTAATAGAGTTGTGTTGGGAATGAACGAGGCAGTAGATCTGGGAATATGTTGCAGGGCAGGGGTGACACCGACTCTTCGGATGGGGACCCTGAGGTCTGGGAAGTTTGGGGTCTCCAAATATTGAGATGGCAGACGAGCGAGCGCTTGTCTCAAGGCTGCTGTCTCCAGGTCTTCAGGCAGGTCCTGGGAACCAACAGGGCTTGGAAGTGTTGAGAGGGGACATGGGAGAGGAGCAAGAGCAGCCGGGTTCAACCCTTGACCCCATGACATGGCATCAGGAGAGCAGGGTCAGCCAACTTGAGAGGCTGCGTACTGCTGGAGCGCTGCCTGTTTCCAGAAGGGCCTTCCCAGAGGGGTGGCGGTCCAGGGTTCACCAGAGGGAAAGTTCTCAGAAGCAGTCTCCAGTCTGGGTCCAATCAACCTCTCTGTGCATGCTCAGAGACACTTTCTTCCCTGGCTATATCTTGTTGGATGTACACTGGAAAGACTGTCTTTGCCAGAGGATGGTCTGTTGTTTTAAAAGAGAGAATGAGGGAACCTCATTCCCATCGTGATGGGAGAATAAGAAAGTTGAAATTCCTAGCCCCTCTTCCAAATGCAAGTTTTCTGTTGTTGTTGCTAGGACAGAAAAAGTGCATTTAGGTGTGTATTTTTTAAAGCATAAACCCAAATGTATAGTTGTAAACCATCTCGAGACTTTTAAGTATGGGGCAGTATAGATAAATTTTAACTAAATTAATTAATAAATAATAGTTCCCCCATTAACTAAAACATGATCATTTTTTAAAAAAAACCCCCAATGTTCATAGTTTTAACTTGTGCATTTTTCCCCCCAGTGGATGTATTTTGCAAACAATTTTACACACTTGAAAATACACATTCACATTTTGGGATGTGAATGCAGGAAACTCTGGTATTTTAACTAACTGAAACGAGAGCCATTTTGGATAAAGGGGTGGGATATAAAGCAAATAAATAAATAAATTTCGTGTATATTTCTACACTCTACGTGTGCACTGGAAAGAGACAGTTTAATTCCCATGGTGAGAGAAAATGGCCGTACCATTTTTAGATAAGAGACGGGAATCACATCTTGGAATACCCACTTATGGAAATAAAAAGATCTGCAAAGTCGGAAAATGGTGCAAGACTTTGCCGTGCTGCTTCTTCAGTTTGTTTCTAAGAGGGGAAAATATTGAAGGGGAAGCACACACGTGCACACCATTTGCACAAGAGACGTTCCACGTTCTGCTGCGCCCCCTTCATTCTGCCAAGTGTCTGATGTGCCCCAGGACAAACAGCAGAAGCCAAAGCCCCTCCGAAGTGAAGAATTTCATTTTGTCAAACTGCCACACCATGCCATTGCGTCTGTCGCATATCCTGAAACCCAAGGGAAAGGTGGGCTTTTGTGGGGGGGGCTTGTCTGACTCATCCCCACAGTATATGCCAGCACGGGACGAGGAGCAGTCAAATTTAGAGCAGAGAGGTCAGCGTGACGGTGGCGAGTATTTGCCCCGCACCATGGACAGCTCCGTTTCCTGCTGCGTGTTGATTGTACAAGAGCCCCATTAATGCCGTCAAAAGGCGGGCGTGCCAAGCCCCTCAAGGACTTAATGCAGAGATCATCCAGCCCCTCTCGGCAATGGGAAAACATGTTGTGATCCTCTTAGTGGCGTAATTGTTGCTTGCCCGGCGTTCCTCTCGCCCCAGCTGTCAATCCGAGGCTGCCACGACCCCTCTTAAACTCCCACATCAGCACGCAAACAGAGTTTAATATAATTAGCCATGATGGAAAACAAGGGTCAGCGGTGTGTGTTTAAAACGAAAACACCTTTCTGGCTGGGCTCTGCTTTAACGTTCTGAGCCATCGGTGGTACGTGTCCCCAGACATCTCCCCTGAAAACAGGGCACTTCTGAGTTTAAAGCAATCGAACTGGTGGGGGAAACATGCTGTCAACGGACTGAAAGAGGACGTGGGGAAGAGTCAAATCTTTCCATCCCTCTGGGAAAAAGACAGTCAGCAGCTAATTCCGGAAAGGATGCGCCATTGTCCAGAACATCATGTGCTGAACTGGACACCTGCTCTGGCAGGGATGTTTTATTCCCTGCTATTATTCATTCATTCGGTTTGCTCCCCACCTTTGCACCAAAGCAACGGCGATGCAGGTCATTCGGTTGTGGCCTTGAATTCCTCCCCTCGGAATTGCAGGATCAGACCTTCGCAATGCCATCGCAGTAGCTCCCGCAGAAGCTCCACAGAGCTTCACTGGACAATACTTGCCTTTCCCTAGAGTGTAATTCCTGCAACTTCTTTCCAGAGGTTCGCTGGAGGCCACGCATATCCCGAGGTCTGCCCTTGTTCGCTTGCCTCTGTGCCCACCTCTTCTCCCAGGCTTCAGCCTGAAAGCCCAGAGTAGCCTAAACTGGGCTGGGTACAAATGCTTCCCAATCCATTCCAGGCCGTTGCTTGGGAAAACAATGACCTTGCCTTACTGAAGCTTCCTACTTCTGCTCTCAGCACCTGTCCCAGGTGTGCAACTATTTCTCCACAATCTGTGCCAGCCCATCCCTTATGATCACAGACAGGGGCCCTTCTCCAGGAGCCGTCCTTGAAGGAGATTGAAGAAGGGCCTTTTCCATGGTGGCACCCCGACTGTGGAACACGCTCCCCAGAGAGGTCTGCCTGGAGCCATCCCTTTATTCTCTTTGGCATCAGGTGAAGACCTTTTTATTCTCCCAATATTTTAACAGTTAATTGGTTTTATCCTTGTTTTTTATCATCATTTATCAGATGCAGTGTGTTGTGTGCTGTTTGTTGTATATGGTTGCTTTGCTTCTTTGTTTTTTGTAAGCTGTCCAGAGACTTACAGCCGTCCAGTCTATAAAATCTAGAAAAAAAAAATCTGCCAGCTAGGTGAGGGAGGAGGCCCTCTGTGGCTACTAGCCTTGCTGGCCATGGGCTCCCTCCTTCCCCAGAGGCGGCCTGCCTGCACACCCCAGTTGCTGAGGAGCTTGGGCAGGGGAGGTCTTGCACCCCTCCTGTCGGAGGGACCCTGTGGGCAGCTGGTTTTCCATCATGTGCGTGGAGTGCTGGGCTGGATGGACCCTCGATCCAGTCCAGTAGGGCTGTTCTTCAGTTTTTATGTCCCCCAACTGCAGGCTCTGCCAGGGCCCCGATTCCAGCCCCAATTTGCACAAATCAATTCTGTTGAGATCCTTGGTCTGAAATAGACCCTGCTCCCACAGAAACCCATCTCAGGGCCTCTGCTTGGCCGGCTCTGTCCCATTGGATCCCAATCCTTCTAAGATTCACCTCAGCTCCCTGCCAGAGGCACAGAACTAACGGGGAGTCCACCTGACTGTTTGGTAAATAAATAAAAGGAAAATTCCCAGAGGCTCTAAGG